ACATGCGTACGCGATCGTGAGCCGATAATGCTTATTGTCGATGACGATATTGACCAATAAAAAACAATCGGCGCTCGAATACACGATGTTTATATGGACGGCCGTAAAAATCAATCGTAACGTAAACATTGAGATCTTCAATCATAATTTAGGACTACTTGTCTACATATTGATTTATATTTATACATATTACGTCATTGCGTGCGGAGTATATTAAAACGATATATTTATTGCAATATGTGTTTATATTGTGGGGAATTTAATGCTTTTGGACGCTCAGATGGCATATAATATTATATGATATATAAATATAAAAGGACGATGTTATATTATCGTATATATGTATAATATAATACGCCACAGAGATTGCGATCGTCGTGCGATAATAATAGCCGCAACACGGATTACCTATATTATAATATTGTGGCGATCGAATCGGCGAAATGGGAAAACAACTGCGGAGACGAGGGGCGGCTGCGGTCCTATACAGAGGAAACTTTAACGCACGACCGAAGACCGCGATACTCTATCTGTAATAATATAATAATAATAATATACGCACGTAGGTTTTACTGATCGGATCCGTTGAAAAGACTGCGGCCGAAACTGGCGGAGATATCGCGCGAGCTATATTATAAATTATATGAAAAAAAAACCAAACCGTTATAACATAAAAACCATAATATATATTATACACGTATGTGGCCTATTCGGATTGATTTTAGATCTTTATCCCGAACGATTTACAGCACAGCTTTGAACTCGGATAATATCGTATTATCGTTCATATAAATGCGGCGCTACGATACTGTCTATCACGTCGTGTATAATAGTGTAATAATATATATTAATATATTATATTATTTGTGTTATCGTCACATGCATATCGGCAGTAATGCAGCAGCAGGCGACGAGAGCCCCTCCCAGCCCCCCGTAAATAAACGTACACGGAACTCGGGCGGGCACCACGCCCATCCGGACGAACGCGAGCCAATGCCGAATTAAATGGACTGGAAACCGAGGATGACACCTCGCACACCGTTTAACGACGATGCTTCGGTGGTGGGCTCTCGTATATGGAAATTAAAAAAAAATTACGTTTAGAAAACATACCAAAATATATTACACTATTATACATTAAATGAGTAACGCGCATGCAGGCTATATTTTTTTCTCACGTCTCTTAGTCGTAAATATACGCGAGTCACGTCCGGGAATGCAGTCTCCGATTGGTCGTCGTGCGCCTCAACCCTATACACACGCTCTGCAGGAATATACGAGTATTGCAACCACGCTGTATATGCACGGGATGTGAGCGCGAGGGGAGGAGTGGTCCGCGAGCGAGATAATCTTCGGATTTATTCGTCCGTTAAATGTCGACAATTAGACGATGCCGAATATCAGATTTCGGAGACGCTGCAGCCGCGGTGGATATTATAATGTGCTCCATACACAACTGCACGCGCTTGTATAAGACCTCCCGTACGTTATTTTTTAATATTCCAACGAGCGTACATTATAATGCGCACAAACTCGCGGCAGGAACACGTAAAATATTATAATATATAGGAACGTAGACAAAAAAAGGGTTGCTCGCGCCCGCGTGCTATGAAATATTACGACGGCCGAATACGTTACGACAATGGGCTATAATTGCGAGCACATAACTACGCGTTATATATTATATAGCACTAGGTAAGGTAGGTGTATGTGTGTGTACCGTGCCGGGGCTATAAATTATAGATCACGTCCCGCAATAATAATATTATAAATACCCGAGCACAAAAGAACCCGGGGACCTAATTTTTGTGTGTACGCGCGCGCCCGGCATCGTCGTCGTCTCGTAATTCGATATTATTAGTATCAAAGGTCCCGCGAGCCCATCGCGTAGATATAACAACATTTAAGTAGTATATTATATAATATAATATCGTCTATACATTATATTGTAAGATACGCGACGAACCGCCATCGCCGACTTTGGAATTAATGACGAAGCCGTACGGGTGTAACCCTCTCACGCGACCGAAATATGCGCATCACATTTCTGTGTAACGACGAAAAAAAAAAATAATATATTATATAAAAGTAGCGGTGGTTTCTGATTTAAAAAGGCAAAAGACGTATCTCTATTGTTTCTAACCAATTATAAGAAAGAAGGAAAAAAACCGAACATAATATTTTAGCGACCCGCCGCAAACCAGATATATTGTGTATAGCCGTGTGGGTATAGTGTCGGTGTCGCAGTGTTATATTTTCAAAACAATAGCGTATAATATTATTATCATTATTACAATAATATATAATAATAAGTGCTCTCCGGGCACGACTGAATATCAAGTTTTACAAACGTCTGCGTGCACTCGTTAAAAACATATTTTCACCGTCTGCGGCGTATACATTTTCGAGTGAAATTTGCAAATATATGTAACCTAAAGGTAATATAATATAATGTTTATACATTACTACATGAGCTTCCAGTGATATACAAAAATTAGTCGTTAAACCGATACTCGAAACGTGCATGCCTGATTAGTAGATAATAAATGTATAATTTTTTATTGATAAAAACAGTAATTGATATTAGGCACGATTGTGCAAGTACATAATATGTTGCGGGCAATGTGATTAAATTACAGTACGATTATTCGTACTAACGTATTATGCATAATTCATACAATTATATTATAATATTAAGTACATAAACATAACATTATATGTATACAGGCAATTTATTTATTTAATCAAAGTGTATTATTATTATTCATCAATTTGTATGTATTTACAATGTAGGTTTTCCAAACAAATATTATAATATGTTTATGGGCGTGTTTACAATTTACCTGAAGTCCTAAGCAATAAAATTATATTATTATTAGGCATATTTTATAGTAGTTGTCAAATTTAATTTAGAAATATTGCAGACAATTTTTCCTACAAGATGTTACAAACTACATCGATGGATTAATATTGCACAGTTAAATATTGTCATATAATATTATATAAATAATATCAACACTAAAATAATGACCAAAAAGTTTTTTTTTATATATATTTTCAATTACGGCATTAGTTACGACATATTCTGTAATATTATAAGGTTAAGTAAAGAACAATACTTTATTATGTTGGGCAAGTAAAAGGCGTTTCCACCTTTTATAATATAATATAACCTACGCAATATGAAAGAACCCCATTGCTGCAGCTTCAAAGGCTATTATGGAAGAGTAGTGATATATTAAGGTTCTAAATAATAGGCTGTGCTGGGGCTATAGTGATCGTTGAACGCCGTTTTTAACATTTATCCTGAAATTAAAGATTTCACATTTTGCACAGAAAATACGTTTAAATTTTTATCATGCAAGATGCGGTATTTTTTGAGCATACGAATTTTTACATTATTAAATATTCTATTTTACAGTACTCGCCATGTATAAAACTAACGTAATAATATCATTGTATACCGCAACCAGGTGTATTTTTATTTGTGGATTTCTAAATGTGGCAAAAACTATATACCTAGCTGTATCTACATAATAATATAATATGTTATGCAGCATGATTTACAATATCAGATTATATTCATATTAGCACGATAACGTACCTATAAATATTACATAATATCACCGCAGATATAAGGGATAAACACATAATATGATATATATAGGTAGGTTAGTTATCGAACGAAATGCGTGTTATATTATAGACGATTATTAAGATAATAACTATTAACCTTATCGATTTTGTTTTATAGGTACCTAAATATAGTTGAGCGATGAACTTTATTGTCGTTACACAAGTCAGCCACATAACACGTTGTTACTTGTTAATAAACTGTTGTTATTATAAAAATTAGGCAATACTGATATTATTATTATTAATATAATGTAACGTGAAATAAAATATGCAAATCACCTAAAACGAGTAAGCAAACGTCATAATATTTCAACTAAAACATAAGAGGTATAAAAGTGTGGCTGACGGTAGCTACCAATATAAAAATAATGCCTATATCTTGAACGTGTATGTTGTATGTCTTACCATTGAATAATACCTATATTATATTTTGACAATATTATACACTTAATGGCATTACGAAAAGTGATGAAATTATAAAAACACCGATTACGCGACTAAAAGGAGTAGTTGGATGACTCTAATAGTTGTTATTGTACTAGAAAACTGCTAAACCAAGTTCACGTGGATTTATAATCGTACATTTTTGCGATCGTAGACGTAATAAATATTATTCTCACCATAAATAATGTTTAACATTTGAAAAAAACGATAATAATATAAATTTGAGGGCATTACGCAATTGACTATCCTAAATAATTATCAATAACGACGTCGGCGCGATTTGAACATCAGTAACTCAAACGATCGTTGACCATAAACCGCGATGTCGGTATAGTCAATAATTAGTGTCAGCGGTAACAAAATGAAACGAGGCGCCTATACAAGATATCCTCGAAAATGTCGTTTTAGTATTGCGAGATGACATGGCCATACAATAATTCCCCAATCGACGACAACTCGGAAACTTGTTTTTGCCGTGCGACACATGCGTAGCCGACGACAGTAAATTCGGCGGGCGGAACCGAACCGAATGGCGGAGACAGTGCTCTCCTCAATTCTCATAAGCATATTTGTTAAAAAGCAGACCTTTAGTATAAGTAAAAATGTTATACACAAATAATAATATATATATATATACATCAAAATAACGGTGTTAAACTTGATTATTATGTTATTTTGTTTTATAATAATAATATCAACGATGCATCGTTGTATTCGGTTTTTGGTTATTGTGTTATTTTTGAAACACGACAAACGGCCAAGACACATATTATGTGCGCATAATTTATTATATTATAGGAAAATGACGAGTTATGTATGCCATAAAAATGTATGAATAAAAAGACAAGCGGCGGCGGCGGCGGAGGTAGCAGGGGCAGCGGTCACGCAGATTATACGCGCTCGCGCGCTATGACACTTACGGCCATATGTCGGCAAGATGTTTGTCCTTGACGGAGTCAGACAGGTGCGGCAGCTTGTAATACTCGTAGACGAAACTGAGTGGTGCACCTCCCTGGCCCTGTCCCGACTGCTGGCCCTGTTCGTCTCCGGAAGCGCCGCCCGAAATGTTGAGCATCGCTGACGTGGCGGCGGTCAGCGGGTGTTCGTAGTACGACTGCCTCCAGCCACCTGGCTCGGCGGGTTGTTCGGCCACGCCGCCACCCCCGCCACCGCCTCCTCCTCCCCCGGCGATACCACCACCGTTCGTGTCCGAATCGGCCATGCCGTCGTCGCGGTGATGATTGTGTCGCCGGCGGTGGTGATGCTGTCCGTCGCCGTCGACAACGGCGCCGGTGACCTCGTCGTCCTCGCTGCAGCTACCCCGCCGTCTCCTACAAAAACAGCCCGCGAAAAAAAAACGTCCTCCGTTCAGGTATCACTATCGCACAGGTAGGTAGGTATGTGGGTATACATAAGTTTTAAGGGATAAGCACACAAAAAATAATTATATTATGGAAAGTTTCATTTCTATATTTTCCATTATCCCCTGCAAACCCAGCGCGCCCAACGACTGCTGAGCCTTTGCGAATCAAAAACTATGTGAGACCTATTGCAGTCATCGCCGCGTTTTTGTCGAGAAATCTTTATTCAAACGGAAAACGATCGCGTATATTATTATTATTATTATAACATACTTGCGGACATATAACGATCTCATGGGGGAGTGGGAGAGGGGGCAGGCGTCTAAATGGTGAAAATATGTTATAGATTTCAAACAACTATTGCAGCCGACTTTCACCGCATATTATACGCTATATACGTGTAGGTACCTACGTTTAGGTATGTGTTGTATCGAATACGTGTCCGCGATACACGGCAACACAGATCGGCCGACGAAAGTTCACTCTTTTTTCAGTGAAATCCGCTGATCGATCGCATCTGACAATAGTAAATAATTAACGCGAGATGTCGTATGATAATGACGACGACGACGACAATATAAACGGAAAGAAGAGATCTAATAGAGATCACGTGTAAGTACATACGATACAACAATATTATGTCCGCTACCTATACAGTAAACGACGACGACGGACGAGATCACGAGCGGCGCACGAGTTTCGTGAATGAATCGCGCGGACCGCGGATGAATGACAGCGCATTGTTGTTGTATTATTATTATTACTATTATTATGAGGTAGACTGAGCTATATCCGGCGCCGAGGGGCTCACGTTTGTGCGCGCGCCAGACCAGACCGGACCGGTTCGGTTCGATCGACCGGTTCTCGGCGGCGGCTTCCAGCAGTAGATGTATTAAGCCGCTGCAAAACAGAAGACGACTCTTCCATTCGACGAGGTGATTTATGAAAAACTGTGCCGAAAACAAAGGTCATCGGAGCTTGTCTATTGTCTATACCGGCGGTGCTGGATTGTTGTTTTTTGGGGGGTCACCCCGTAACGTGAATAAGTCGTCACTCGTCCGAAGAACTGGACCAAAGTGCGTCCGAGAGACCGCGGCTGCGAAACTCGTTCTGCCCGCCCGCCGCCTAACAGAACAAGTAACCTATCGACGGCGACGCGCGCCGCACACAATAAATACGGGTGTACGATGATAACCAGTTATTATTGTTATTATATTGTTGTAGTTGTTGTTGTGTGCGTGTTATATTGTTTGTATAAATAGTATATTATGTTTACCGCCGTGACCTTTGGTCTCGTTAAAAAAAACTGAACCTGTTGTGCCACTGCACACGAGCGCCGCCAACTGCACCGACTCGACCGACCACGACCACGGTTCCCCAAACGATTTCATTAACAAGTGTCGTCGTCGTTTTCTCGTTTTCCGCTCCATGCTGCCGTGTAAACGCCGCGACCACGTGCAATATCATATTGTTATTATTATCATTATTAATGTATATTTCGCTCAATTGTCGGTATAGTTATGTTAGAAATACCGGTATGGTAAGTATATAGTTATGGCATAGTTATGTTATTATTATTACGCGCTCGTTTTTCGTAATGGACCAAAATCGTATTAAATCGGAGTCATTACGCGGTGTTTTTTAGCCACATATTATTATACTCGCGTATAACTACTATATTGAGATAGTCACCATAACATATTTATAGAAATAAATATAGCCGAATCAGGCGACTTTTTCCGCGTTCTTAGTTTCGACGTGGTGATGATAAGGGTGAGTCGGAGATGTGCGTTGGGTGCAGCGGATTGTATGTATGAAGTGGCAAAAAAGTCATCGCATCGACGATGAAGCGATCTCGAAAAAAAATGAAAACCATACAAACAAAAAAAAAATCGAGGGACTTGCAACGAATCGGATGTCGGCTCGGAAGACACACGACCCCCCCGGGTGATTAATTGTTTTATAAGATTTCCGAATAAATATAGCTCGCGCACCGCACAATGTGCTCGGAGGGAGGGATGAGACAGTGATCGGAGGGCATGAGAACTGCGTTTTGCGCCGACGGGTACATATTATACACAGGTATATATAGTATATACTGCACCCCGCGATGCATGGCTTCCTCCCGGTCCGTGTTTACACAACCCTTTTGAAAATCATTTACGAAACAGCGGCGGTCTTGCGCAACGAGTGATTTTTTTTTTCGCGATCTATTCATGCGACGACGTTATCGCTGACGACAATGGGTAACCGAGCCTATACACACACTGCACGCGATTTATATGTATAATAATATGTATAGGTACGCCGGGCTCGGGGCTATTTGATGCGAAAAGGATTTAAAGGTCGACATTGACAAATGAGGAGCGCGCCGAGTGCGAGCGCATGTCGCACGTTTATCACAGTTTCGATATTTGTTTTTTTTCGAGAGCGGGTATTATAATAATGCTTGTGTGTCTGAAGGAGATATAATATATGATGATGCGGCGTACGCGCGGATTAGAAGTCGTGTCGTACGATTTAAATATTGCGATTAAAAAAATAATAATAATAAACGAAAAACGTCATATTGTGTGTGCACAGAGTAACGGTATTTTTTATTATTGTTATTTTCACCACCATGATGCTTGAAATTCTCATGATTTCGACAAATATGTTCACGGTTTGTTTACTAGGTATACCCGTACGCCCTTCCTGTAGTAGAGATCGGTCTGTAACATATGCGGTATATAGTCGATAATAAATAGGTCACCATTTACGAGTTCCCCCAACAGATATCGTCGAAAGTGGAATCTAAGGGTTTCCGAGTAAAAAGAGGAAATGATACACACGCTGCAATGTTCCGCACGAAAACCGAAGGTACATTATCCGTAGGACAGAAAAAGGACAACTACCATAATTATACTTAAGAAAACAAACAATGTAATTTTCAAGTAACCGCGGGCGCCAACCGAGTAACGATTTTTTTTTTGTTTTGGTCGTTTTAGGTCTCAGACGGAGCATATATAGCTATAGTATGTATATAGTATGGTACGCACGAAAATTAGATATATAATATTATTATTATATACGTAAACAACAATGTCAGTTTTTTACCGACGATATATTTTTTGATTACTGGTTTTTCGTCGTTTGTCAGCAACCGATCTCATGGGAATTTCCTCGTCGTCGCCATTCGTACATGGTATAACTACTCAGGTGTGTACTATGCACCTATATTATATACATAGGTGTTCCTATAATATTGTATAGGTGTAATGTACACACTCACACGCATACACATAAATACATATGTATATAAGTACCCACAGTCACCGTCGCCGAGCAAATGATTTGTGGGAGATAATAAAAAAAAAATTACCTACCTAAGTAATAACTAGATACATGTATATATAGCGACAAGACGGCGTGTCCGTAGTATATATTAATATTATACACGGACAGAAGGGAAATAACACCGTTAATTTGGTACACGGAGTTATCCGAAGAGTTATAATACTATACATGCACACCGCTGAACAGACCATACACATTACACATATATGCAAATGACTGTAATCACGATGATTGCGCCTCGGGACCGTAGTCGCCCCGTCACACACATATACGTGAATATATAGTATATAATAACAATATAATACGATATCTACCCCCGAACGAGATGGAAGTCGATAAAAATGTAAATCCTATATGTATTTAGGTAGGTACCTCGACTATAAATATATATGATTCGTGAAGCCATTGTTGTTCGGCTTAGACATTAAGTATATTGGTAAGAGGTATATACCTATATGATAATATGATTGTATATATACCGAATACCGTACCGACACTTTATTCGGGGGACTATACGGGGCGAAAAAAGGGATGAGAATGTTTTATAAATTATAAGTAAAAAAATCGGTGACCCGCTGAACGCAATGCAATGATATCATGTGCGTCGTGTGTGTTATTATTATGTTTTCCTCGCAAACGCGAAAAATGCCATAAAACATTGAGAGTAGACCCGTTCAACTTAACCCAGTTATAATATATAGGTACCAGGGAAGGTTATATAATATACCTATACACGAGTAGGTACTCAGATGCTGTGAAAACGCGTCAACGAGAAATGTTGATTTATAAATTAACGCGGGCTAGGCTAACTAGCGTGCCATCGACCTAGAGAGCAATAACGTTTTTCTGTCCGTACACAATAATAATAAAATATCGTACAATTGCATAATTATTCGAAACGTGCGCATATGTGTGCGTTATCCCCCATAGCTACTAATCCATCGATAGATCAAATCGACCGATTACACACACACCCATGTGCTTATTATAATATCATAGTATACGATATATAGGGTATTTGGACCGGATATTCCTGTTTTGCGTAAGGTTGCCGCCACCGCGAACGCAGTGTCAAAAACAAAAAGGACGTCCTCCCGCCCGCGCCCCAGCTGATGCCAATACGCGTATATTATGATACCTGCTACATAGCATATAATAAAATAATATATACACATGACGATGGATATACGCCGATAGCGCAGCACGACACCCGAGTCCGGAGAAGCGGTTAGCCCTCAACAGTCAACGGTCAATTGTTTTTATATACTTATAATATACAGGTACATTTGTATAAATCGAACGCGTTTTATGTGCCACAATGCACGCTCACCCGTAATTAATATTATTTATGTCCGGTGTGCAGCAGAGACATAACATATATTATATGATGTTGTACGCTGAGCGGACAAGAGAGACCGCGACCGAATTGTCTCGGCGAGCAGCACGAATTTAGATATGGAAAACGACAAGGACGGTGTGTCTGAGCAAAACACTAAGATACATATTATTGGTACAATGATTTTGTAAATACGTGTTACATATAAATTGCATATTATTGTGCATCACCTCGTGAGAAGGCTTTACCGCAACAATTCGGTTGCCAAATCAGTAGAAAACATATTCGATCTCTCGGCGGTATAATATTATACATGGCAGGGCGGCAGGCAGGTATAGGTATAAAATCATCGGGTATTCGATATCGGAAGAAAAATAACGTACATAATATTAATGCGAGAGTTTATGTATACCTAGGTTTAATACCTTCGATGTTGACGAGGAAATTGAACAACAGCCGAAAGTATATTACAATATGTACAAGTTGGTTTTACGACTGCACGTACCAAAATACAATATATATTATGTGTATATGTGTGTGTGTGTATACATATTATATTATATACGAATAGGTTAGCCGAAATGGGTGTATCCGCGAGATGGATTATTGCTCCGGTAAATTGCTTCGGGAGTACCTATACATAACCAGCTAACATTATATTATATACCTATATGCATAATATAACAATATAATGTATATAATATAATACGCATATATTATAGATAGAGTACTCGCTGACCACAAAAACCTGTGCCCCGCACATGGCGGGCTGCACATAATATTATAATATATCATTATACCCTCGTACGTACGCGTCTAGATATTATGGATAAGTATGCGTTCCTAGTCGTAGACTAATATTACCCCGTATATCCATGTACATTATGTATAATAGTATAATGGTATATGTAATGCATTTAGAGAACTACGAGAATACGCAACGGTCTAAGAGTCCAAAAGGAGTTGTTGTAGATTTGTCGCGGACTCGAACGTTATCTGTTATCCTTTATATTTTCGCCACTGCCTCGATGAAAATTGCAGGTGCCGTAGGTATATTATGGGTTATAATGAATTATACATGTACATATTACAGTCCGGTAAAATATAATTGTGTCGATTACGTATTGCACTCATAAAATGCAGTAACTACGTTGATAATGATACCGATATATAGGACATAAAGGTATGTCATTTTACATCGTGTCGGACGTGTGTAATCGATTCGGCCGCATAACTGTGTTCAATATAAATATGTATATGTTTATATGCGTTTACAATAGTGTGTACATAGGCAACAAAC